TTTCTCCTTCAATATTTTCTTACCCCTTGATTCTTCTTTTTTTCACTCTTCCAGGTTTTCCTACTAATAAATTTAAGGAGCACCTAAACTTCCTACATTCATACCAATCACTGATTCAATTTCTATGCAGAAGATTCTTTCCTGTTTCTTGACAGGAGGTTGACAGCTTATAGGTTTCCTGCTGCTGTTTCTTTTTCATGTCCACAATCTGTGTTACTTGTAATTAAACACCAGTGTTGCCTTTGGCCTCTCAACAGTTTGGTAAGTCAGCCAGAAAACAGAGATCAGAGCAGACCTGCCACAATCAAAACCTATCAACTACTCCTATTGACTCTGAGAAGAAAAACATTTGACTCACACAAATTAGAAGGTTTAGCCAGTAAAGTAAAGACTCTCATTTTCTGCTTTTGAAAACTGGTATTGGAAATCAGCACCTAGCATAAGCCAACTCCTGTTAGGCATCCTCTTTTCTGTGTTTTTAGAAATCTTGGCTAATGAGAAAACTAATGGCAATTTTTTAGGTCAGCTTATTGTTAAATTCTTCCCAATTGCTACCAATGGCTGAGAATCCCAAGAACAACAGTCAGAAGTTTTGGGTAATCAGTTCTGGTTTGTTCCTTCTCCCCCTCTGCAGTACCATAAAAAATGTCACTGGGATTTGTAAGTCTTTAGAGGCAAGGTCAGCAAGGTTATTCAATGTGTATTTATTTTTAAGACACATACAGATATTCCCACGCAGTTGGCATGGGTGTTTTACTAGGACTCGAGTTGGATTCCTGCCAGCAAATTCAGTAAGCACAGAACTGATCTCCTTAGAAACTAAAATCTGAAATTCATTTCCAGATTTTGAGCTCACAAATATGTGAACCTATTCAAAGCTGCAGATTTCATTTTTATGGTGCTTATAACAATGAACTACTGTAAGCAACATTTTTTTTTTAGTTAAAACTAGGAATTTACTTATCCTACTAAACAAAGCAAAATTTAGAGAAGTCAATGGCCCTTCCTCTAAAGGTTAGATGGTCCTTTGATTTAAAGAAGTATGGAAAAGAATATTCATGTATTGATGCCAGCTGCATGAGCTCACCACACACAAAAGTGGTAACTTTCTTGTAGTTATAGAGTAGTAAAAGAGTTGTAGCTGCTGGAGAGACTTTTGAAGAAACTGCACTAAAATAAAGAAGCCTGTCTTTACTCTGTCAAGACACAAGCCAATACAATACAAATATATAGGTCTGGCTGTATTTCCTGATTTTTTTGTGCCTACACAGCTTGGGCAAATTCATAGACAGATTCAAACACTAACCATGCTGAGTTTCCAAGTGATAGCTAAAAAAAAAAAAACCTAGAAAAGTCACATAAGAAGGTTAAGGGGAAAACATGCCACAGTTAACAGCAACCTACATGTGAGCAGTGGCAAAACCATTTATCCTAAAGATACTAAGAGGCAGATGCCTATAAACACAAACTTTTGAGATAAGAGAATAGTGTTTCAGTATACTGCTTTAGTATATCATCAGTGGTAGCTTTTATAGAGTTAATACTTCCTACCAATAAATCCTACTCAATAGTTTTAAAATACAAGCAAATACAATAACAACCCAAGTTCAAGTGAGAAACAAAATATTGGTGCATTTTTTTCTATAGGCTCCACTTCAATACATATGCCCACAGAAAAAATGTTGCAGAACAGCTGTCTCAGAACTCCACCACAGTCCCAGCCCCAGACATTTTCAGCTGTCAGAGCCTAAGGGTAACTTTTCAGTGCAGCCTGGCTTACAATGAAACAAACAGATCCTGTTTCCAGGGTTACAATTATCAGCTAAATAAATAGAATTTTTTAAACTTATCTACTAAACACATCAGTGGCAAAACCGCAATTGCTTACGATAATGAACCAAATACAGGCGTGTCTGTGTGCAGCCAGTCATTTCTGCAAGAAAGTACATCCAAGAGGTGGAGTAGAAATTAGGCAGAGTGATTGGAGAAGCCTAGCACACTCCCAGGAATGTGACTTGAAACAGAGCAAAAGAGAGCTGAAGTGCCCCTCTGCTCTCCAACCCTCCCCACAATTAGCTCTTTTTATTTCTGTGGTATATGCCTTGCATACAGTTTGAGGCAATAAAATCTCTCCTGTTTTAATATTAAGTACAGTAAAAGTTTAATAGCTAGGAGATGGCTTCTCAGGGGCACAACTCCGTATTAGTTGAGAGCTCAATCCTCTTATGATTTCAACCACAACTTTTTCAGCAATTTCGATGAGACCAAGACTGAGATCCTTGGAATGCATCTTCACTGCGCCAAAAAAGGGTTTGCCTTGATTTTTTTTGAAACAAAATAACAACAATCAGCTCTATAATGGAGCTGAAAATATGACTCATCAGTTCATTAAGAAAAACAGACTAACCAAAATACTGATCAAGTTCAAACGTACATCTACCTCCTACACCAGGAGCAGCCAATTTCTTTATCTGGCATCTTCTAATCTTCTAGACAACATCTGAACTATGGAGGAACCGCTGAATAAAATAATTTGCTGAACTCAAACACCGGTTGGTTCTTGCATGAAACCAAATTCTGATCTAAGTTAATGCTGACTTTGGTTAATGATAATGATTCTGTGATATACAAATTATCAGGGAAGACCTGAAGTTGCATAATATATCTGAGAACTCTCAAATTCTGAGAATGAGTCTTCTATTTTAACTTCTTAAAAATCTGCTACACTGTGACAGCTCAAAAAAACAGGGCACCTTCCCCTACCTGGCCCTTCTTCCATTACTATTAGCCCAATACCTGTACAAATGCTTGTAATAGTGAAGCTTCTTCCATTGTATGAATTATAACAAATACACAAGTATAAAACACAATGACTGCATGAAGGTTTATAATGGCAGTGCCAGAAAAAATAAACAAAAGTAATAAAACCAAGCAAACAAACTCCTCCACAAGAAAACCCAAACAAAAACTCCAAAAATTCAACAACTCAAAAATAAAACTTTAAAAGCAAACAAGTATACTGGTAAGATATTTTTAAAAGCACATAAGTTCTTATCAGCAAGTAACAGGCTTAGACTCTCATTTCTAGCTGTAGTCAATAGACAACACTGCTCTTTTTCTAACCTAAGTACAGGAAATTCTTCAAAGAAGTTAAGCAATTAATAGCTGACTTCAAATATAAGTAAGCTGTATTAGCAAAGTTCACAGAAATTCAACATTTAATCCAGACTAAATCATATGGCTCCCATTACCATTAGCAAATTACTGTATAAAACTTTTGCTTACAAAAAGATAAGTTAGCTCCTTTAGATTATGAAGGAAAACCATTCAGCATGAAAGGGACTGCAAGCTTAATAAAACCTATTCTATTAAAAGGTAAAATGTGCTTGCTGCATAACATATTTCTCCATGCAAGAGAAGGTTCTCACACTGCAGAGCTGTTTTCACCTCTTTGAGCAGACTGATAGTTAATCTGAATAATTTTGTCCTATTCTGGGCTTCATATCTGTTTTCATCCTTGTGCTTCAGTATTGCTGGAATGAGAACAGCTGTGAATGGGCATGTTACTATCAGCATGTTTTCTGGAGGATCTGGACATGGTCTGGTCACAGCCTAAACAAGACTGGTCTTACTCTGAAGAAAGGAAAAATGACAATTTCATACATCTTCTGTCAGTATTTAGAACCTTATTTTCAGTAACATTTTTCATAATCTGTCTTATGAATTCTATCTTCTTTCCATAAAAATTTATTCAAAGGGCGTCTAAGCTGCAGATGAAGTTGCATTTTGCAATTGTTTTTTTCTCTTTCCAATGTACAATTTTACATTTTATGCAGAGGTTAAATTGTGTTAACACTTCTGAAATCACATCATGTGTAGCAGCTAAGAGTCATCTGTCCTCCTCCAGGCTCTAGCTTGCTATACTCCAAAGAAGTTGAAAATTCAGAAAGAGAAAGCAAAACTTATTTTAAGCTGCTTTAATTTCCCTCCAGGTTTAGACACCCAAGGAAAAGTCATCTTTGTTGTGAACTGCATTTTTAAGTAACTTACAGGCAGGTTTGCACCTCAAGAATGCACTGAGCCAATAACTGTTTACCTCTTGTCCTGTATCAAAGATAAGAATTCCTATAAAGCTTTAGAAGGGGAATAATGCACCAGGTCTTGCACAGCAGATCCTGAAAAAAATGGGTATCCCTATAAAAAACATTTTAACAACAAACATTTTCTGTAGCTAACAAAGAAACAGGTAAATTGGAATCTATTTTATTTTGACCCTTGCTTAGTAATTTTCTGATAAAAGTTTCCATCCAAAACTTCCTGCCTTGAAATAAAGTGAGGAATATGGACTGCAGCATCACAAAGAAAAAGTCATAGTTAAAAATAAGCTGAAACAGAATGACCAACAGGAGTTTAGTTTTCATGGGCTGCAATTGACAGAGCTCCCAGTGTGCTTATTTAGGATGCACTCTAGTGGACACACATATAATGAAATCAAAGAAAGATACAAACAGTATGAAACAGTAAAAAAAATGAAAGCAACATGTCATTAGAATTAATTTTTAGCATGTTTTAAAATAGTGTCTTACATTTTGAAGGCTGTATGAAGGTTGAAATTTGCATGGTCAACGTGACTGGACATTAAAGGTAAATGGACATGAGTTACCAATTTTTGAAAGTGTTAATTTAAGTATTAAGAATCAGTTATACATATTGATTTAAAAGACAAACTCCATCTGTTTATCCATTTACTCTATCCCTTTGAGATTAGCACAAGAGGTTGCTGTGCATGAAGTGTGAACAGGTGTAATTAGAACTGTGATATCACAGTGTGTCCTTAAATTACTCTACTGTAACTGTTACTAACAAATATAATTGTAAACTGTGTCAAAATCTGTTCACTGGAACATTAACCACAAGGGTGTATTCATACCACAGGAAAGGTTTTGACTATCACAGAAACTGCAAACCAATCAGAATTGTAGACAGCAAAGCCTGACCACTTAGACACAAAAAATAGTTCCACTTTTCATTACTCCAACAGTTACATAAACATTTCTAAGTATTTATATCTGGTAAATGACATTTTCCTCTTTTGACTTTAAGGATGCTCATGTAAGACATCGCTATTAACAGTATTCAAAAAGCAGTGTAGCAATAAGATGGGCACAAGATTTTTTAATAGAGGTATTTTATCTTTAAGGGAAAAATAATACATTAATATATAAAAATCAATAGTGCTCATGTTTTTAAAATTTTCTAAGATTATTCTTAGTCTGATCTACGTGATCAAAACAAGTTATTCAGAGCAGGCAAACAGTTATTATGTGATTGACCTTTGTCTGTTATAGGTGTATAGTTATTTTTAATAGTTTGCCAATGATAGCAAAACCCTTAGACTCAGCAATACTATTAAAAAACGAAATGAAATTATCAGAAAAATCTTTCATACCAACACTGAAGAATGCAGTGAATGCATTAACTATGCACAGATTTTGTAATGAAAGATATTTTCATTGCACAGCATTGGCCACAATCAGCTAACCTGTAGTAGAAGACAGGGATGCAAAGGCACATTTTATTGAAGAACAGCAGGATTTCTTAATGCTGGTGTTTTTTCCATTTATAATGAAGGGACAGAACATTCTGGACAACCTACACCAAGATACCAGTAAGTACAAAAATCTGTTCTTGTAAAAATGCTATCTTTAAGGATTAGAAAACTTATTTTTATAGATAACCATGGATCAAGCTAAATATTTTTCTGAATTTTTAGAAGGGAAGTTTTGGAAATAATAATGGTATTTAGTAGAGAACACATTTAATTTATTGATTTATAAATTCAAGAAAAATGCAGAAAAGTCTTAAGAACTTGACTAATCAAGTTCTTTTTCAGCTTACCTAGCACTATGCAACACCAAGAAAAGGTTCTAATAATAAATATATTTATCCAATAATAAAGCCTAGAGCAAACATATCATGTTACAAAGATCATCTAATGACTTCTATGAGACAAGATCTTCTAGTATATACTGAGTCAGAGTTAAATTTACCTCTTTCAAATATATTTCGGAAATCTGATTGGATTTTTGCATCAAGTTTGATGTCCAGAATACTCTCTCCATCTTTTAATCTGCAGAGCATTCCCTTTTTCTGTCAGAAACCATTCAAATTATTGGAAAATAATTTTCAGTAATATTTTATTATTTGAATACTGATTCAGATTATCATATTGCAGTATCTATCTTCAAATTATATTGACATTTTAGTTATATTTTTATTTATTATAGTTACTTCAGTATGCAATAAGCAGAAAATATATTTACTGCTTTCACTTCAGCTGCAGTTTTCTTCCTGCAAGTCAGCCATGCTAGCTACTTTATGCTTTAAGAATAAAAATTAAGAAGCAGTGTCAGAAATAACAGACTTTATACAAACACCTCAAAAACATACACCAGAGAAACAGTTACATATATCAGTTATATTTATAAAATACATAAATCAAGATACTACACTTCAGGATACCAAGTAAGGAGTAGAAAATATATTTACTGCTCTCAGGTCAGTTCTAACTTTCTTCTTCTTCTTCTTCTTCTTCTTCTTCTTCTTCTTCTACTACTGTTGGAAGATCTGTTTGACTCTGGAAAACAACAACAAAAATATTCTACCACTTACCAGCATTCACTGAACTTTGTAAAAAGGAAAATAGAAAAAAAAACTGCCCATGACAGACAAGTTGGTACTTTTTAGTATAATCATGTATTCTTCCATTCAATACAGTGAATACAATGCATGCCATCACCAGACTTCTACTATAAAATCCAGCAAATTTGGATGATGCATTGTGATTTTGAGGGCAGAATCAATAGCACATACCTATATGTCTTATTTTATCAATCTGTTCTTAATTTGTAGCAAACATGTCACTGTAAAACCTGAAATAACATCCCCAAAAGCCACTGTAATCTAACACATTCAGACATGAAGACTTGGCACATGTAGGAAGCAGCAGGTACTTAAGACTCATTTTCACTTCGAGTTTTGCACTTTTCTTATTAAAGAGCCCATAAAATAATGCCCAAAGCCTCAAGAATTTTTTAAAATATGTAATTATTGAAAATTATAAAAACTGGGGCTATATGAGATCTTGCATACACACCTGATTTACCTCAGTGGAAAAAACAACTGAGAAAAGTTGACCCCGAGAACAGCCGTAAGTATTTTCATAAATCTATTGAGAGAACACTTGTAAACAGGCTGCTATTAAAACAACTCTAAGTATGAAGCATATTAATATAACAAAATAAATTCTGAGCAAGAATTACACTACTGATACCAGAAATTAAGTGATTTCATACATAACTGTTCACACAGCAAAGAAAGGCTGCTTCCTCTAAGTATATTCATGCTTTAGTCAGTAACATATCTGAATACAAAATGTTGTTTTAAATCTTGAGGATTTAGTCAGCTAACACCACAGATTCTTCTAGAATGGCCTAACTCCTACCAGAAAGCAGCTATGGGCTGTTTAGCAGCTTTGGACAAAATACTACCCCTTAAACAGTTTTAACCTTTTGATCTGTGAGAATCAATCATTTATAATCTCTTTCTACACACTTACGGGTTCACTCTCATCTGGCTCCTCAGCTTTGGGTGAAGTAGGTGTTCCAGATCTATCTGTTCCTTCAGCTATTGTGTCTTCATTTTCCTGTGGTAATGAGAACCAGTTTTCAATTAAAATGTCCCATGTCATGAAATCACATTTCAGGTGTGTTAAAATGACATTATGTATTAATGTAAAGAGAACACTTTAGATAAGTTCTATACAAATTTAGTAGTACAGGAACATGGTCTTGGTATGCTTAACCCTGTTTTTTGGTTTTTTTTAATTAAAAGCAATTTAAGATTTTCACATATTCATCTTTTCTGTCACTTTCATATGCTCATCTTCCTACAGTTGTGTTTTGCCAGTATTTTAACAGCTTTCTAAAAACTTAGGTTCCTAAAATACTCTGTGCTCTGCAGAGTTTTTAAAGCTTTATGGAGATAAGCATGCCAATTATCCATGTATGTTTTTACTGAAGCAGCATTAAAAGACCATAAACACGGATAAGTGTATACACACTCTTCTGTTGGTACAAATTCCCATACACCACTAAGAAATCAGAATCCAGATGCATTGCAATTTCAAACCACAGCTCTTTTTCCAGGTATAGTAAATGGATTTTGTGCTAACCCCCTGTAAAATATTACTGTGTTGGTACTTAAATTAGACATTCTTATTTTAAAAAACTTTCAATACCATCAAGAAATGTGGAAGCATCAGGTAAGCTGACCTTATACTGGATTTTTGCAGTAAATTTATGTTCTGTTGTGACCAAAATTCAAGTATAAAACTCAGACTGCTGAAGCCACGTTAAGACATTTCCCCCATCTACCTACACTCCTGTTTCTTTATTTATGTGTTAGTTCAACACCCATGGGTTCTGCTTTGTGTTTTGTATTTGATGTCTGCTTCTGGAAAAATGACTGATAAATGGTATTTTCAAACCACCAAGTAAGCATTGGTCAAACCTCTTGATCTTCCTGCTGCAACTGCATTTCAGCTTCTTTTTTCTGTGCTTCCAACTCTGCAAGTTCTTTCTCCAATTGAGCCTGCAATCAGTTTAAGAAAGGACAAATTATAAAGGAAACAAGCCCCACATTTATCTTTTTCACCTCATTGTTTACAAAGTATTTAATATTGAAATAAAAAAGTAAACATAAAACATAACTGCTATGTTATGTAAATAATAAAGTCCTTTCAGTATCATCTGTTTTGACATTTTCAAAGGTTTGAGACTCTTATGGATAAAGAGGCTTTACTACCAAGAGGAAGATAAAGCAGTTAAGTGAAGTTAGTGTACACACTTCAGATCCTGTCTCATTACACAAGCTCTTTATCAATCTGTATTAGTTATCTCCTATCCTTTGGATTAAGCTCTTTGATACTTTGTGTAGCACCTAGCACAGATGGATGAATCAATATAGAATCAAATCTATAGAAATATTTGGCAAGCAATGTCATTAGCATTAATCATGTCCATCAGCAACCTTTAGTACTTACAACTGGAAATATCTAACGGGAAGTGTTTATTAATTGTGAACATAAGTCCTATCACATCCAAACTTCAGAAACTGCATAATCTAAGTATTTACATTCAACAACCTTAGCAAATACTGTTTGCTCTTGCATTCTGTGAGTAGTTACAATTATGGTCATAATTTTCTATTCCTTTATGGTACATAAAAGCAAAATTTACCTCAATATTTGACTACAGCCAAAACTGAGTTAGGTTAAAAAAAAAATTTATTTAATGTGAGTATAATTCTCAGTGAATTATCTCTGGACACAATCTCTTTATTTTCATTTACTATTTTATATCACTCATGAAACCCTTAAGCACATTACTCTTAGTTTGTAAATTACTAAAGGCCAAATTTTAAAACTGCAAACGAAATAAAATGAATGCATCTTACACTAGAGCTGGGCATAATGTGATCAGCATAAATTTAAAATTAAGCTTTTGATTTTAACTTTATGAAAGTCATCCATACAAGAAAACCAGTCAGGTCACACCAACATCACTATGTCAACACTGAGTTCATATGATTCCTTTACAAAGAATGGCTAAAAACACAGATATTGTATTTACTTCTGATACTGTAAGCCCAAACAGTATTTTCAGTTACTTCTCACGTAACTCCTAAATTGGCTGCCTTTTAACTTAACAGCCATCATTTTTTAATAACATTTTACTCCATAGTATGTAACTTTTCCTACCCATGTGCTGACTAATAATTTTAGTTACTCAGAAAAGTGAGATTGAAATACTTGCTTTATGCCACCTTTATCAAAATCATTATATAGCTATTAGAAGTATACAAAGAGCTCCAAGATGCCACAGCACCATATGCTGCTTGGAGTTATCTATTATTAATAACCTGACGTTGTTCTTCAAGTTTCCGCTGCTCTTCTTCCTGGATTTTTAACCTTTCAAGTTCTGCTAGGGCTGCCTCCCGTTCTTGCTCTATCTCAGCTCTCTCCAGCATTCTCTATTTCAGATGTAACACAGAATCAATTAAACATAAAAATGAAAGATATATTAAATAGCATCAACTATATTGTAGCAATCTTTTTTTTTTNTTTTTTTTTTTTTTTTTTTTTTTTTTTTTTTTTTTTTTGCCTAAGTTAGATCTACCTTTTTTTCTTCATCTAAGTTTCTTCTGTAATTGTAAATCCAGTGTGCAAGATACTCTATTGGATCTGCTGGCCGATGCTCTACAACCTCTGCCAGTCCCTTCTTCAAACAATTTCCCAGGCATTGCTTCAGATACTGAGACTCCATCCAAATCTACTGACAATAAACAGACAGACATTAGACATCAATGTTAGAATTAAGTTAGGGGCTCTAAGAACTCTTGCTTCAGGTGCCAAACACTGATTATGACAATACTTTTTACTAAGCCTTCAATTTATACAAGAAAGTTATTTAGCAGTAATTTAGCTCTTAAAGGCGCCAGTGACAGCTCAGTTATAACAGTCACTGCAGAAAAAAAAAATGCTTAAACCCCACCTTATTGTTTGGACATGTATAATTCATAAAGTACTTGGAAACACACTGCTAATTCTAGGGCTGCATGATAACAAAAAACAAAAAAAAACAAAACAAAACAAAAAAACCAAACCAAACCAAAACAAAACAAAAAAAACAACATTGAAAAGCACAACAGGACATTAAAAACTTCTATGCAGAGAACAGGCAACTAACTCTGAGGACAATTAAGGGTAATTTTAGTTTGAACTGTCAAAGCTATCTTTAAGAGATGTGTGCAAGGCGAGGGTCTGAACGCTCTACAGTTACGAAAGGCACAGATCTCTGCACACACTCCACCAGCCCAGTCTAAGTACACAGGAGCCGTCCTTTGCTGCCAAGGGGGCTGAAAACGTGCCAGGGCAGAGAGCCCAGGCAATGAATTGACACAGTGACTACAGCCCATGCTCCGCGTTCACGGGGGCTCCAGGTGGCCTTAGTGTGCCCACCCTCGTAACCCGGAGCCGCCGCCCACGCCCCCCTGCCCGGGCTCCTCAGCCCTGCCCCGGGGCGCGGAGCCCGTTACCCGCCTCCCTCACACTCCGCCAGTCCCCGGCAGCCGGTGCTGCCTGCTCCGCTCTGCTGTAGCCGCCCGCCTTCCCTCGGACAGCAGCTCCCGGAGCGCCGGGGCTGCAGCCCCCGGCCCGGCCCGGCCCCGCTCCTGCCGCCCGGCCCGGCCCGGCCCGGCCCCGCTCCGCTCCTACCAGCGCGCGGGGTTGCTCCGCAACAGCGGCGGCAGCGCAGCGGCCCCAGCGCCGCCCGCAGGAGCGGACGGAGGGGTGAAGGGCCTGGCCGGAAAGGTCCCCGAGGGCACAAAACCGGGAGGAGAGGCCGAGACCTCAGAGGGTTTTGTGGCCCTTGAGAGAGACTTGAAAAGAATGGAGTTGAATGAGCAGAGAAGAAACTGAAATTCAGCTATGGCAAATGCAGGGTATTGCACGTGGGGAGGAATAATCCCAAGTGCTGGGGGTAATCTGCTGGGGAGCAGCTCTGTGGAGGAGGATCTGATGGACAACAAGGTCTTGCAGCAGTGCCCTTGTTGCCAAGAAGGCCAATGGTACCCCCGGGTGCATTAGGAAAAGCACTGCTAGCATGTCAAGGGAAGTGAATCTGCCCGTCTGCTGAGGTTCTGCCTGGAGTGCTGTGTCCAGTTCTGGGCTCCGCAGGGACAGAGAGACATGAAGATCTGGAGTGGGTCCAGCAGAGAGCTATGAAGATCATTAAGAGACTTGGGCATCTCTTATAAGGAAAGAGAGAGCTGAGCCTGCTCAGCCTTGAGAAGAGATGCTTGATAGAGGACCTTATTAATATGTATAAATATCTAAAGGGGAGGTGCCAAGCTCTGCTTCGTGGTGCCAACCACTAGGACACCAAGGAATGGGCAGAAACTGATGCATAGGAAGCTCCATTTAAACAGGAGGCAGAACTTTACTTTGTGCAGGTGACCACACACTGGAACGGATTGCCCAGAGAGGTTGTGGACTCTATCTAGAGATATTGAAAACTGTCTAGATGCAGTTCTGTGCAACGTGCTCTAGGATGACCCTGCTTAAAGCAGGGAGGATGGGCCAGATGACCCATTGTGATCCTTTCCAACTGTTTTAATACCATCTGTCTGTGAGCAGTTTCCCTTCACAACTGATGTGATCTTTTTTGCTCCCTGCCAAACTCATCGGCTGACGGTCACCTCATATTTACCAGCTGTTTGTTTTGCTGTCAACTTCTAATCGGGTATTCAAAACCCTTGTAACTGCAGCTGGAAGAATTAGCTCCGTGTGTTTGTTAATTCCGACGCGTAAGTGCGGAATGAACATCACCTTGGCCGCCCCCCGGCAGAACTGGAAGGCGGGCTGCTTCCCGCAGGAAAGGCAGGCGGCTGGCGGAGGCGCCGTGAGCGGCGCGGGGCCGGCTGCAGCTCGGGGACCGGCCGGGCGGTGTCGCTGGCGCGCCGCGGCCGCTCCGCGCAGGGCGCGGGGCGCAGGGCGCAGCCGCCGCCCCGGCCCGAGGCGCGGCCATGGCGGCGGAGCGCGGCGCGCCGGCCGAGGCGCTGGTGGGGCAGGTGGTGCTGCCCGGGGACCTGCTGCTGCTGCCCGCGCACTACGACGAGGACGCGGAGGGCGAGCGGCTGCGGCTGAGCGCGGGCACGGCGCCGCAGGGGCGGCTGCTGTGCGGGCCGGGGCTGCGGCGCAGCGGGGCCGGGCTGCTGGTGACCAAGTGCGGGCTGCTGCGGCACCGGCCCGCGGGCGGCGGCGCCTTCTGGGTGGACTCGCAGCAGAAGCGGGTAGGGTCCGTGTGTCTGTGTGTGTGTCTGTGTGTCTGTGTGTTAGCCCGCGCTCCCCTGACCCTCTGTCCCCCTCGCCCGCTGCAGTACGTGCCGGTGAAGGGCGACCACGTCATCGGGATCGTGACGGCCAAAGCGGGGGACGTGTTCCGGCTGGACGTGGGCGGCAGCGAGCCCGCGTCCCTGTCCTACCTGGCCTTCGAAGGTGCCACGAAGAGGAACAGGCCGAACGTGCAGGTGGGTGCCCTGCTTCGCTGCCGGTGACGCTTCAGCTGCGTCCTTTGGTGGCGCCCGTGTCGCGTTCCAGTGGCTTTTCTTAGGGGAAGTTAGGGGAGGTCTGGTTCTAATGGTTTCGCCTTGGTCCTCCTCGGAGCGTTTTGCACCACTGGCCGCGGCCTCTCTGGGGTTTTTTAGGACCGTAACTAGCGTGGTTTGTTCTCTCTCAGCTGGCTGGGTGCTTCACTCTCATGTGTTGGTTTGCCAGGAGCAGATGCAGTTCATAAGGTGCCTCCGAAAGGGCGCTCCGATGTTAGGGTTTTAAAACGTGATGCTGGTAGAAAATATTAGTTGTGTGGGTTCTTTTAACAGCGCTGTTATGAATGGTTGTGTTGCACATGCATGCCATAGTTTCTGCACTCCCATGAAATGCCATTACCAGAATGTAAAAGGTAAAACTGTAAAGAAAAACAAAATCGGTGTGATATTTTTTATTGTTGTCCTGCTAAATGATTATAAGAGATAAAATCCTGTACTTTTGTTCTTTGACACTGTTTTGTTTAGGTGGGAGATCTTATTTATGGTCAGTTTGTTGTAGCAAATAAAGACATGGAACCAGAGATGGTGTGTATAGACAGCAGTGGAAAATCAAGTGGCATGGGAATAATTGGACAAGACGGCTTCCTCTTTAAAGTTTCCTTAGGTCTAATAAGAAAGTAAGTACTAAAAATGTAATTAGTCACTCTCACGTATAAATTACCACAGCTGTTTCTTCTGAGTAGTGTGGGCAGTTTGGTAAATCAGACTGTGTGATTCTTGTAGTGCGTTGAAACCAGATTTACTGAATAGAGTATGGATTGATCTAGAAGAAAAGTTTATTTTTTCTTTTAAGAGACTTAGAAGCTCTTTTGTATGGTGTTACATCACCTGTTTAAAAATAGTGATGTGGATGCCAAGGCAGTATGGAAAATAAAAGTAGTGTCTTGGGGTAGTCAAACATTCAGGATAGTGTTTCAGCTATGTACATATTACCTTGGAGTTTAAAACTTGGCAATGCTTATTGTCCTTTTTCTGTTTCGTGGGGGTAATAGAGGGTGTATGTTTGGCTGACAGCTGATTAAAGGGATCTTTGCACATCAGTACACATTATTTTCTGACTTCCAAATAAAAATAAATAACATTGAAATACAGATTTTAAAAATGTTGGATTTTAGTTTAAGGCTGACACATAAATCCAGGAACTGTTTCATAAGCTTTTAAATGTATTGTGAACTTTGGAGTTGCTTATGCTGATGTAAATACATGACTTTTTTTTGTGACTGTTAAAGTATACCAGATTACATGGATAAACAATAGTCAAAATTTGTTTTTGCTTTTTGGGTGGAGTTTTTTGTTTGTTTTGTCATTCTTTGGATAAGCAATCTGGCACTGCAGAGCAGCTTTTTCATACCTGGCATTGTCTGATTTATATGTCCTATTAGAAGTCAGCATGAATTGATACAAAAGCTTCTTGCAGCCATTCTGTTTTCCAAGTTTTGTCTGTATACAAGTAAAAAAAATAACAGCATATTACAAGTAAACTGCTAAATACTGGTATGCTTTTATTTTTTGTGAATACTTGTCTAATCTTGATTTAATTCTAGACGTATTACAGTATTTAGTATGTTGTCATCTAATAAAAATGAAGTAGGCTATTTATTGCTGTTAATACTGTTTCCTGAAATAGAAGGGAAGTCCTGTTTTGAAAGACACCTCTGGGGTGTCAAATAAATAGCACATCAAAAATGTCATTTGGTCAAATTGTGTACTTTTAGATTTATTAGCTCATAGAATTGTTGTAAAAGTATCAATTAACTTTAAACTTATCAGGGATTGCTTCTGAATCTAATGACAAAAGTAAATTTATAATGGCTTTATTTTTTTAGGTGCATGCATTTTATATGCCAGGAGCCTTGAAAATCTGATACTGTATTGCTATGTTGGATGTATATAGAACTTTATAATCTTTCAGTGTTTCTTAAATGGCTCCCATAATAGCAGTACTGCTGGAGCTACTGGTCAATAATAATGTGGTCTCTGTAAGCATGATCACTCCTTCCTCTGACTTTTTTTTTGTCTTGTTCACAGGCTCTTGGCTCCCAAATGTGAAATAATTCAAGAGTTGTCACAATTGTACCCATTTGAGCTGGTGCTGGGAATGAATGGAAGAATATGGGTAAAAGCTAAAACAGTGCAACAGACTTTAATTATAGTAAATATTTTGGAAGCCTGTGAGTATATGACTGCACAACAGAGAAAACAAGCGCTTGCCAAACTGTCAGGGAACTGATAAGAGAAAACCTTGAGGATTGTTTGTGATGACTGTAGGGTGTTTTGGTTATTTTTGTATTCAGATTTATATATTAAAAGCCTTTTTTTAAATGAAGTACTCGATTTTGGTTGGTCTTCATTTCCCTTCTTTATCCACTCAGCTTGATTCTGTGTTGTTTAAGGAGTTTGTTTTGACTCGCTTTTGTGGTTATCAAGCCCTGTTTATGTTCATGAATTTTCTGACTAATGGGTCTTTGGAAGCTTTCATTAGCTTTCATTAGCTCTGAATTTTGAAGCTTAACTACCTAGATCTTCTGGTCATTTTGTGAGCAGCATGTAATTGTTTTTATGGTTATTAAAATTTCAAACCATCCATGTTTACTTTGGATAGCAAAAAGTATCCCATGGGTCATTAATTTTGGTTGGGTGCTATATTTATACAGTGACATTTAGTAATTATTTAATATATTATTACGTTTGGGATTAGAAATGCAGGTAGAGAATACTAGAAAATAATTGCAGGGTGTAGCATAAAGCAGTCACAGGGTGGTTAAGGCAAATGATCAGATAAGACCAAAAATATGTTCACAGGGACACTGTCACTTTCCCTAAGTGATGACCTGCCTGTTATTATTAAAGACATAGTGATAAGGATGTCACAATAGTAATCATGTGTTTTTTGATTTAAGACATTGTTTTCTTATACCATAAAGATGCCTTAGAGCTTTGGTAATATTTAACAAAACCAGCATTTCTGAAAAAAAACTATGTTTGGCTTCTTTGTGTAACAGTCCCTTGATGCATATAGAGGAGATGCTGTCTTGGAAGGGTAAGTTC